GACCTGCGAGCGTCTAGCCGCTATGGCACAAAGTAGAAGAGAACGTGGAAGTGTGTGTGTGTGTGTGTGTGTGTGTGTGTGTGGGGGGGGGGGGGGGGTGCAATGTCGCTGTTTCTTCAATTGTTCTCCATTTGTCCTCTTCTTCGTTCCTGGAGGTATTATTTAACCAAGACTTGACTGTGATCAACTTGTCTAACCTGGGAATAACCAGTCAAAACAACATGGACTAAGGTGGCTACTCAGAAAATATGTGTAGCCCAGGTCTGAAGCCTATGGTAGAAATACATGTCACGCACAAAATATTTTCACAGAAGTCACAAGCGTTCATCCTTATAGCATGCTCGAAGAGACTGACCACCTACCAAAATATCCTGTCAGCGAACAAATAAATGTGTGTAAACACATGTCACGCAACAAATATTCTACAGAAATAAACGCCCAACAGCACTTTATGTCCGATATTTTTAAAAGTAACGTTTATTTTTTTTACCACAAATCACCATAAATCTGTGTTTTCTGCTCAGAGAGACTGACCACCACCTACCAGCATGTCCCATTAGGAAGAGAGAACACATACTTAGAAAATGTGTGAACCGTCATCAAGTGCCCTGCCAGCTGGCGTAGGGGTTCATGCATCTCAACAGATCTCGGTCTTTAGTGTTCTGGACCATACTCAATAAAGATCGCAAATATAGGCATCAGCTAAACAGCTGAAAATGTCTGAACGAGATCGAATTATCTTTTTCTTTTACAAGAAGTCTAGTGTTCTGGATCAATTCCACTGATGATATTCCTCCATGCCAGTGTCTAAAGCCATTCACAATCATCTCTCTTGGTCTGTATCTGCCTCTTCCACCAGTGATCTTTGCAGTCATCACGATATTTTCCAGTGCTCCATTTCTCATCGCATGATCAAAGAATTTTGTTTGACTCCTTCTCATTGTTATATATATAATGTTCTACTTTCTTTAGCCATTTTGGGGTAAAAATTATTAATTATTTTGGCAGTCCAAGATATTCGCAACATTCTTCTTAAGGACCATATCTCAGTTGCTTCCAAACTCTTCTTAATTTGTTTCTGGACATTCCTAGATTCACTGTCATACAACAGCAACAGGCTGGCTCAACATAACACTTCAGTACTAGTTTTCTAATGTTTACTGAGACCCATTTATTACATAAGTTACTATCAATCTTCTGAAATGCTGCCTTTTCCTGGCCAGTTCTGCTCTTAATTTTTGCCACACATCATCCTTCGGATGTCATGAACATCACCAAATATTTGAATTTATTGAGTTTCCCATCTATTGCTATGTCACATTTTGGAGTTATCTTCTTCTTCTATATGACCATTGTTTCTGTTTTCTTGACATTCAATGAAAGTCCTTTTTTTGTGTGCACTCTCTAATGTCAAAATGTCTAATAATTGTTGTAGCTCTTCTGCGTTTACAGCTATTAATACTGTCATTATCTCATCATCAGGTGCCTTGCCGACTGGCGTAGGCGATCATGCCTCTCCATAATCTGCGATCTCCTGCAGCATGTATCAGCTCGTGTACGACACACCTCCATGCCATGCAACAAGACTGTCAAGCATATTCTCTCGTTGTCTTCCTCTATCTCTCCTTCCACATATCTTTCCAGTGGTCACAACATGTTTTATTTTTCCTCTTCTCATAACATGGCAGAAAAAATGATGACTGTCTCCTTCTGATGTCTGTGATAAGTCGGGTTCCCGCCTCTTTCAAAATCTCTTGGCTGCTCTTTTTGGTTGTCCAAGGTATTCTAACCATTCTTCTGTAAAATCACATCTCCGAGGCCTCCAGAAATTGTTTGGCCTGCCTACCGATTGTCCAGGATTCACAGCTATATGTTAAAACTAGATGTATGTAGCAAGCAAGAATTCTTTTTCTAACTCTCAATGACAAGGATATATTGCACAAGATGTTTTTCATTTTATAAAATGCAGAATGTCCTATTCTGTTTCTTATCTCAGTTATGCATCTTCCATCTGATGTTATCCATGTGCCCAGATACTTAAATTTCTGTACTTGTCCTAAAATAACACCATCAACTTTTATTACACAATTAGGAATAATTCGTTTCTTTGATAACATTATTACTTCTGTCTTCCCATTATTCAAACTGAGGCCCATTCTTCCACTTTTTAACACCACAATGTCAATCATTTCCTGTAGTTCTTTCTGCTAATTAAAGCTCTCATTATATATTCACTGTATATTGAAAACAAATCAGGTGATAGTACACATCCTTGTCGTAAGCCCGTCTTTATGCTTTGAAATGTACCTAAACAGTTGTTAATTCTTATAGCTGCCGTTTGCTGCCAATACATATTCTTTATTATTCGTAGATCTTTCCCATCAATGTTTAATTTTTCTAACAGTTTGATTACTTCTTCATGCTTCACGCAGCCAAATGCTTTTGACAGGGAAGCGTTAGGCCACTACGCTTTGCGGCTATGTCTCGTGTGCTGCAAATTACAAATTAATTTTTGCCTGAAAATTAATACTGTATAACTCGGGATAACAAAGATTGTTGACATTACCTATAACCTATAACCTCCAACACATATCACAAATATATAATCACAGAGCATGTAGGCGTTTAGGGCAAACGTTTCCATGTAATTGGTTGGTCAGAAAGAACAGAAAACACTCATAAACCACGGTTACTACAAGAAGATTGTGTTCTTTATGGAAGGACAGGGCGCCTCATGAGTCAAAGAAGTGCAGTGGCTAGATGTTTGCCTATCGAATGCAAAAGGTTTAGACTCGAATCCGTACCGGTAATGATTTGTATTATGAAACTAGGGCTCCAAGTTTTGTTTCTCCTTCTCTGGCTGCTTCGCTCCTGCTCTTGCTCTCCTCGTCCTGCTGCTGTTGTTCCAACCTTTCTCCTTTACCCTTATCCCTCCCACATCCTTCCTTACTTCTCCTCTTTACTTCTTGTGTTTTCTATGGGGGACGTGGCCGACATAATGCCAATCGCCTTTACTTCCCAGGACATTACCGGGTAGATATTTTGGGTTGGGTTGACCTCTTTTCATGATAGAATTTGAAAAATAAAACTAATCCGTGTCCGTGTGGATTTGAACTCTAGACCGGCAGGTGACCGTTAAGCCACTACGCATTGCTGCTGTGTCTCGTGTACTGCAAATTACCAATGGTACAGGCGTCCCCAAATGCGATGACGGCAAAACTGTCTTACATCTTTATTCTTCATCTCCTTTGTGTCTCTTTTCTTCAATTGTTCTGTTGTTACAACAGACTACAGTCCCCCCCCCCCCCCTTTTCCCAATCCTTTCACCACGTGCTCCTTCTCTCTCACTTGTTTCCTCTTTTGTTTTTGAAAGCTCCCTCTCTATTTCGCTCTCTGTTGCACTCTCTCTATCGCTGTCTCTCGATTATTCACATACACTTTCGCTCTCTCTTGCTATCACTCTTTCGATTGTCCGCCCTCTCCGTCTCTCTTGTACTCTGCCACTCTTTCGCTCGTCCGCTCTATCTATCTATCTCTCGCTCGCTCTATCTCGTTCCCCTTTTCTCTCGCCTAGCCTCTCTCTCTAGTTATCTAACCGAATGGTACTTTACTGGCAATGTGATAAACATCACACTGGCCGCCTTTACTTCCAAAGACCTGGTATACATATTAGGCTGGGTACACCTGGTGTTGAACCCAAGACCCTCGGGCCGACCTGCGAGCGTCTAGCCGCTATGGCACAAAGTAGAAGAGAACGTGGAAGTGTGTGTGTGTGGGGGGGGGGGTGCAACGTCGCTGTTATCGCAGCGGCATCAGCAGAAGAAAAAAGAGGTACTATAATTTTAGTTCACCCTAACTCAGAGAATCCCAGAGTTCCCGGAAAAAGTCCAATATCATAGGGGGCTTAGGGTTAGGGTTACAGTTAGCAGTGATTTTTTCACACCGTAACACCCCTGTAATATTCCCCGGGAACGCTTATTGGAGTCCTCGAGGCGGGGTGAACTAAAATAAAAGGACTGAAAAAGAACGAGACAATCTAACTATAGTACAACCAACTGTTCAAATCTTAGCCATTGGACAACAAAAACATCTGGGGAATTCCCATACCTGTATCGGTGTAACTTTAATCTAGATCAGTGAATCCAAAACCTTCCTAATGCAGCGACCCTTACTACAGTTCCTCATGTTTTGGTGACCCCCACAGATTATTATTTTTTTTAAATGCGTTCAGAACCGTACAACAGAACCGTACAACAGAACCGTACAACAGAACCGTACAACAGAACCGTACAACAGAACCGTACAACAGAACCGTACAACAGAACCATACAACAGAACCGTACAACAGAACCGTACAACAGAACCGTACAACAGAACCGTACAACAGAACCGTACAACAGAACCGTAACTTCAGTGAATATGTGTTTTTCGATGCTCTTAGGCAACCCCTATGAAAGGGTGTTTCGACTGCAAAAGGGGCCGCGATCCACAAGTTAAGAACCACTGATCTAGATTCTAGATAAACTGGTACACAACATAGTGTGTTACACCAGGCGAGACGACATGAATGAAACATGTCACCCGCCTCCCTCCCATCCAACTACTCCCTCTTCATCACACTACATATTTCCTAGGGAAATAAGTGTGTGCATGTGCGCGCACGCGTGTATGTATAGTGAGTGTGTAAGCGTGTGTGTATGTGTGTGTGAGTGGTGTGAGTGAGTGTGCGTGCGTGAGTGCGTGTATGTGCGTGTCAGGGGTGGCGGATTCCTCAGGTTTTTGAGTCCCCTTGCCTCCCAAAACAGTAAAAACACGGGGTTGGGGGTGTGGTGGGTGGGAGGGGGTGATAGTCCGCTTACAAAATATATTAAAGAGCAATCCTCCAGGTTCCGGCGCCTCTGCTAATACAATCTCGTCCTTGAGTACACAAGATGGAACAACTCTTGTCTTGTTTCACAAGCTAATGTGTGTTGTACGGTTCTAGCTGTCACAGAGAAAGGATGTTTTTTCTAGTGGTGGTGTTTTTACAAAGTACAGGTAAGTGTTCTTAAAGTTTGAAGGCATTTTTTTTTTTTAAATCAATGTTTAAATATACCTAGTCAGACCAATGTGTTCTAAAGCGGTCAAGCCGTTTGCTAAAGCTCTGAATATCCTGAGTTTGTTTCCCTGACTGCGTCTATCGGTTCTCCCTTTTTTTCTTGGATCCTTCTGTCTTAAAATGTTTATCAATAGAACGGAAGCCTTTATGAAAGCTATCGCGCAGTCTATACATCATGTGGACCATACAGCTTTATCTTTATTGGGGTTGGAACAGGCCAAATTGCTTCTCTTTTAGAGGCACACAGTTGACAGGGTTATAGTATATGATCAGATTTTTCTGGTGCCAAGTTGTAGGGACACGTATCAGTGCTTCCCACACATACACAAACACGCATGCACATGCACATGCACACTTACACACACACTCACACACACGTGCGCGAGCGCACACATATACACGCACCCACACACACACCCACACAACCTTGAATTTATGTTGGTGAAGTCTGTTGTGCCCTCTCTTTAGTCTGAATATAACACATTGTCCCTCTCCAGAGGGGCGATGAAGTGATTCTTAGGAAAAAAGTGTGATGTGGCTATCCAGCCATTTTTCTTGAAATTCTGTTCACGAGTTCAGATTTTACGTCTATGCTTTCGGATCCTCTTCTGGAGCAACGGGGTTCGTGCTTTGTACCACCATATCGGCAGGAGGCTAGCAGGAGACCAAGCAATAAGTGATTTAAAAGCGGTCCAATGAAGTCGGTCCACTCGACCGTAATCCTTTAAAATGGTAAAACAGATGAAATGGAAAAGAAAGAAAGGAAAAAGTACCCGCCATTATCCGCCATAAAGTGCCCCCTCCCGTCTCTGAGCAGACGACAGCATTTTAGGCCCATGTGTAAACCTGTGTGGTGGGCAGTGGTGCTTCCCTATGTATGTAATTCAAGCCGTAAACAATAATAAACCATGAAGAAATATTTATTTATCGAAATTTAAAATAAAATCCTACATTTTGATTGAAAATAATGTTATTCTCGTATACTTTCACATTTTTTAGATTTGAAAAAAAAAAAATTCTCCTAAAAAAAAAAATGCCAACTTTTTTTATCAGATCCTTAAAAAAAATCCCATGTAGCAGGTCTGCTTCTATACTTAGTAGAGATAAGGTGGCCAGCCTGTCTTGTTGCTCTGGTGGGATTTCTAAATATACTTCAGTCGATAAAATAAACATTGATCTCCAGGACTATTAACAATGTCTGTGGGGCCCCTCCCTTTGGGATGCCCTTAGCACGTGCTTAGTGTGCTTAAAGGTTACTCTGGTCTTGCTTGGAATTGTAATAGACTGGAATGGAGGCATTAAGGCAGATGTGCCAATTCTAAAAGTAGCAGCTGGGAGACTTTTCCAGGCCATAAACCAAGGGTTTATAGTTTACCGCTCCACCTATGTGCCAGTCCTGGTCTACGGATGTGAGTCATGGGCAATGACCGCAGCTCACAGAAGCCAGCTTCTGGCCTCAGAAATGAGATAATTGAGGAATGTGGTCCAAGTGACAAGAAGGGACAAGATTCGCCATCAGACAAGTCGTCAGAATCTTGAAATAACCTCAGGTTTTGCCAAGTCGAGTGGATCAGTTACAGTTGCAGTGTTCTGGATATATATTAATAATGGGGGGGGGGGGGGGAACCGTGTCCACAGAACTGTGAAACGTATAGTTCCACTGACGAATTTTGTAATATTTTTTCATGAACTAAGAGATGACAACTGACATTTAGCTTGAGGATGTAGAATGTGCAAGTATAAAGAAAGAAAGAAATATTTCTTTCAAACAGGACCTTGATCCCAGGTGGGCTTAATCTCAACTGGGAAACAGGTAAAGTCCTGAGAAGTAACGTCAACCATCGTGATATTGACCATATTACCCATTGAGTTTTCATTGGTCTAGAAAAAGAGTCAAGTCTCACATGTCCACGCCACTGGACACTTCATAAAGGAAAAGATTAAAAGACAAAAACTTTATATTAAATGGTATCAATATGTTCTTGTCTTTAACACACACAAATGCGACGCTGCAGGTTGGCAGTGGATGTGCACGAGCTGCCACTGACTGAAATCAATTTCTTATATTTCTTTTCAGGAACCTTAGGTTTCGATTACCACGACCCTCACTGTGGAGGGAAGCAAGTAATCGTTCATCTCTTTAACTGGAAATGGACAGATATTGCCTTGGAGTGTGAACGATACTTGGGACCAAAAGGATTTTGCGCAGTGCAGGTAGTAGGCCAGTCTTAAAAGAACACAAACTATACCAACAATAGAAACAACAACAGAAACAACAACAAAAACTAATACCACTACTGCTGATGCTGCGTCTGCTGCTACAACAACAACAACAACAATATATGCAAATTAGGCTCGCATTTCAAATTAATGAGCATTGTTAAAATATCAGACGATAATTCAAACCAAATCACGAATTCTATTGGTAATTTCATCCCCTTCAGTCATGTATGTTTTCACCTCCACTGATGTAGACACTATGAACTCTACTTGAAAAAAAGATATCACCTAGATATAACGTTCATACTTCCATTTTTTCTTTAACTTTCAGATTTCTCCCCCAAACGAACATCTCGTTGAACAGCCCAAACGTCCATGGTCAGAAAGATACGCCCCTGTCAGTTACAAACTCACTAGCAGGAGCGGGACAGAGGCGGAGCTGAAAGACATGGTTGCAAGGTGTAAGGTGGCAGGAGTCAGGTCAGCAAGCGCCCGAAAACATAGGAAAGGGGAGAAGGGTTCTCTGATAATAAGGCACTTGATGATTATATATATATATATATTATTGGTGCCCGGCTCTCTAGCGTAGTTAACTAAACCGGACTGCATGGTGACCGGGTGAAGAACTCCCTGTGGTCCGGGTTCACTCCCGGAGGTAGGCAGAAAAGCCACATTTCTCCCAGATTTACGGTACCTATCATGGAATCAAGGCCGAAGGGTGTCGATATCCATAGTACCGGGCCAAATGGTTAACAACTCATGGTTTCTGGATATTTAAAAAAAAAAAAAAAAAAAATATATATATATATATATATATATATATATATATATATATATATATATATATATATATATATATATATATATATATATATATATATATATATATATATAAATTATTGGTCTGTGGTTTAGGCGTTGCGAATCGGACTCGTAATTCTAACGTACCGCGATCAAAACGCACTGCTGGCAGAGTAAATTTTTATCGTGGTATGGGGTGTCGCAGGTTGACCCAGCCTAAATTGGGTGCCAGGTTCAATGTCCTGGGAAAGTAAAGAGGGCCTGCGTAATGCTGACCACATTACCCACTTAGTGCCAATTGGTTTTTACAAAACATGGGTTCTCTTCCCATACATCAGATGCGCCTAAAAGGCGTGAAAAGGGATCTTTACTTACTTATATGAATTATTGATAGATAGGTCTGAGGGGAAGGAAAAGGGGGCGGGGGGAGATTGGGCTGTGTTTTCCCTCAAGATCCGTCACCGCTGCAGGGATGTTTCCTTTATAAAGGAGATCATGCAAGGGAAGATACCGGGATGTGCGTGTATGCGCGCGTGTATGTGTATGTGCATGTATGTGAGCGTGGATGTGTATATGCGTGTATGCGCGCGTGGATGTGTATGTGCGTGTGTGTTTTATCCTATCCTACACTGATAGGGTTAAAATTCAAGAAGACGGATTTGAGTCCCCCAGCCCCTCTCGAGCGTTTGTAGGAAGATGGCTCTTCCATAAGACATTATTCCACCCACCCAAACTGGACTACAGGTTTGTTCCTGTTTTATAGTTCTCCGGTGTATCTGAACTATATGGCTTTAGAGACATTTTTTTTAAAACCCTGGACTGCCAGAATAACTAACAATGATTGCCTGGAAAAAAAAGAGACGAACAAAGTTTTTTGGTCATGTGATGAGAAAAGAAGCAATAAGAAATAACGTGACGACTGAACAGATCAGGGGTAGAAGCGACAGACGTAGACTAAGAGAAATGATGGTGGATGGCTCAAGACAGTGACATGGCGGAATATCTTCAGTGGAGTTGATCCAGAACACCAATGACCGAGACCTGTGGATACGCATGAACGCCTACCCCAGCTGGCGAGGCACGATGATGATGATAAGGCTTTACAGTTGACCTTTGTTTCTGGGATTTCTACCAGTGTGATTCTCATCCTTGAGTGGTAATCTTATACAATATAAATCCGGAGGGGTAAAAAGTTTAAAACAAAAAGAATCAAGCTTGCTCTCCCACACCCCCCCCCCCCCCCCCCTACCCACTTTTCCCCCAACCCCTTCCCTTAAGCCTTAAGCCCTGTGAAGTTCTCTTTAAAAAAAAAAACATTGTCCACACATGTGTTTCTTCTGTTTGGTCCATTGTCGATTCAAGAGCTTTCCGTGTGAGTTCCGGGACCCCATTGTGAGGAAATACAAGAATAGACCCACTGTCTCCCCAACAATCATGCCGCAGGAGTCGACTAATTTGGAGCTTCCTTCAAAGTCGGAACGCATCTGCTCGAGCGGCAAGACACAACCAACTGCACACAAATAACTAAATCGGAAATACACACAAAACTCAGGACCGGCACAAAGCTAAAGTCCAATTGGACGAACAGCCACAATCTCACGGTTCGTGAACAAAAAATAATCCAAAAGCTGTAATTTTACCACTTGTTCTACTTGTCGTCATTTGTAACTGCCATGTTTGACGTTTCTTAACAGAATCTACGCAGACGCCGTCATTAACCATATGTGTGGTGTGGGATTTAGCGGAGTTGGTTCAGCAGGAAGCCATTTTGACGCTGAAAAACGCGACTTCCCGGGAGTTCCCTACAGTGTGACAGATTTTAACATGGGCAGTCGGTGCCCAAATGCTGATGACCAAATTCACAAGTGAGAGATTTTGATTTCATTGTTAGAGACATATGTGCTTAATATTTTCTTCTTCTTCTTCTTCTTCTTCTTCTTCAGCATTCCGAGCCCTTGAGGTTCATTGCTGCAGATATCACCCGCCTCCATTCATCTGTATGGTTGGCCCTCTCTTTCCAGTGCTGGTTGCATATTGGTGACACCAAGTGTTCGCAGGTCTGTCTGGATATTATCTCTCCATTGTCTTCTTGGTCTGCCTCGTGGTCTACGACCTTAAATCTGCCTGGTGTAGACAGTTTTTACTTCTCTGACATTCTTTCGACCTGTCCCAACCATTTAAGACCCACTTTTATTGTGCTTAATGTTTTCACTATGTTTAATTTTTTTTTATAACTTAAGCACAACCACGCCCTCATATGCACTAACTCATGGTTCTGCTGTCTGCGGCAAAACACCAGCTCATAGAGCTTAGCGTGACATACGAGACGCTTATGAAAGAAAATCTTTTGTACAAGCTGGAAAAGTACTGTGAGTTGGTGGCCAGTCTGAAAAGCTATGAGACGTACACAGTGACGTTCATTGCCGTCGAGGTAGGCGCTAGGGGGCTAATCTTCACATCCTCATACAATATACCAAAGCATCAGGGCTTGCGAAGCAAAGAGCATAAACAGGTGATAAAACAACCAGAAGAAGCAGCAACAAAATCTTCGAGCTGGCTGTGGACACAACGGAACGTCGTGGGGGATGGACGTCGCTAGACTGGTCCGAGCCCCTAGCGGAAAAGAACTTTTAAATCCCTAAAAGCCAAAGTGCCCGATTAAGTCTGCCAGTGTCTTTCTGCCAATTGCCAAAGTCTAACGTCTGCCCTATGAACCAGCCGTAAACTTTTTTGTCACTCTGGTCGTTAAGGTAGTTGGTCAATTTGCTACCGCAGCGACAATAAATATCACCAAACCCCCAATATCTAGTTGCAAAGCTACCATTTCTCTTGTCCGAACGTCCTGGTGTCATGGAGCAGGTCGGCCCACACTTTGAAATTGTCTAGTAGGACGACTCCTGCTGGGCCTGCTCCCGCCGTGGAGTTCTTCTTCTTCTTATACTGTACTGCACTGTGCTATGGCATGTTATGCTATGTTATAATATTCAATAATATCTTGCCAGCTATGACAACCTTGACGAAGTCAGAAACTGCAGCCTCGGCGGCCTGACCGACCTCAACCAGAGAGTTGAGTGGGTACGACAGAAGATCGCCGATTACCTGAACAGTCTGATAGACATAGGAGTGGCAGGGTTCCGAATTGACGCTGCCAAGCACATTTGGCCTGAGGACTTATCCAATATCTTCTCCAGGGTAGGTACGCTTGGCCTGTCTGCATAGATGCCATAACTTGGGGTTTGGGCTCCTCTATGACCCGCAACAGCCCTCTCCCACGGTCCTTCATTCATGTTGTATAGAAGCTATGAGTTATGAGTAGATTATCTTCACAGCACTCCAGACACATTCATAGACGTCCAGATACCCCTCTCAACATATTCATCAGCGTCGCGCGGTTAATAGTGCCAGTCCTATGTTGGTTAACAATACTTCGTGTGCGTCCGGTGTGCTTCTTATGCTTGGGCTGTGCCGATCTTTACTCCTAATTCTCGTATTCTTAGCAGTGATGTGGACACGTTGTTTCCAAAATCCCCAGAACGTCCTATCTCTCTAAGGGCAATGACAAAGTCTGCGTGATCCATGGGCCAGCCATCTTCATTTAATGCAGCACCTGCCAATCTATCAGCTCTTTCATTACCAGCAGCGCCTGCATGCCCTGAGACGAATATGAAGGTAACTGCACACACAGGAGAGTTTTGCAATGACTGATACCACTGTCTGCATAACCAGCCTGCCTCGACCCGCCTGATCATGCTCAAAGAATCTCTCAGCACACACACACGGGAATAGTCCTGTGATTCTAGCCACATGAAAGCTTGTGTCACCGCCATCACCTTCATCGTCATGCTGCTAGTAGTCATTGAGAATGCAACACTGGCTTCTTGATCTCTTTTGCCTGAAAAGCGAGCTGTAAATGCCCGTGCACTCTTTTGTCCACGTATAACGGACCCGTCTGTGAAGATCACATCTGTCTCATCTGACTTGTCACTGATAAGGGCGCATACCTCGGCATTGAAAGCAGCTGGATTCTGCTCCCGACAACTCCTACCGAGCGTCACAACACAGGAGAATGTGAGATTCTGCTCTATAGACGCTGGTATCCATTCCTCACCTGGATGGATATCTGTAAGGCTGCAAACGTGCATGATGTCATTCTCTGCCCTACTCAGCCATGATTTGCCCCCTTAAAGCCTATTGCCCTTTTTCTTGAAGAGCATGTAGTGTAAAGGGTGTTTTAGATCTGAACTTATCTTTAGGTATACGCGAGCCCTCCAGATCTTGATCCTGTAGTTCATGGTAGGGAAGTCAAGAAGGTACCTCATTGCTACACAAGAGATGTCTCCAGTACACCCCAGAATAATGCGCATTGCTTCGTTGTGCACCTTCTCAAGTCTTTAAATCTGAGTATGGCTGACAGAAAGGATGGCTAGAGCATAAAAGATGGGAGAAAGTACAAGTCCCTGGAACAGAAGCAGACTCTGTTCACTTTCTGTTACTTGATTAATTCAGTGTTAGCGGCGGCCAGGACGCCTTATTGCTGACAGGCCTTTGCGTGCTTTTGTTATAACATGTTCTTTGAAGGACTCGCTATAGAAGTATAGGAGTACTCGGTTTGAGTATTTGTTCATATATTTCGTCATGTTATTTGAAATGTATTATTATGTTTATTTGCCATTGAGTAGTGTGTGTGTGTCTGCGTGTGTGTGTACGTGTGTGTCTGTGTGTCTGTTTGTGTGTGTGTGTGTCTAAATATCATCATCATCAAGTGCCTTGCCATACGGCGTATGCGTTCATGCATCTCCACAGATCTCGGTCTTTGGTGTTCTGGAGCAATTCCACTGATCATATTATTCCATGCCACTGTCTTAAGCCATCCACTATCATTTCTCTTGGTCTGCCTCCGCCTCCTCTACCGGTGATCTTCCAGTCTTCACGATATTTTCCAGTGCTCCATTTCTCATCACATGATCAAAGAACATTGTTTGTCTCCCTCTCATTGTTGTATATAATGTTCTACTTTCATTAGCCATTTCCAGGCAATCATTGTTGGTTATTCTAACAGTCCAAGGTATTGACAACATTCTTCTCAAGAAGCACATTTCAGTTGCCTCCAAACTCTTCTTAATTTGTTTGCTCACATTCCAAGATTCACTGCCATACAACAGAAGCGGCTCGTTATAACATTTCGGTACTCGTTTTCTGATTTTTAATGAGAGTGATTTATTACATAAGACACTTTCGTCTTCTGAAATGCTGCCTTTGACTGACCAATTCTGCTCTTCTGCTGTCTAAGTATGTATATAGATAATGCACATATTATTATTATATAAAAGTAAAGGTCCCTTTATATGCCATTGGCGTACTGGGCATAGGAGGTTAAACTTATATTTTAATAGACCATTGTGATTGGTGATCCGTAAAAAAGGGGGAGAAAAAGGGGGGGGGGGGGGAGGTCCTAAGTGGTTCCCCCAACCTTGCATAGATGTTGTCCTTTTAAATAATCTACACATTTTAAAATAAACTGCGACGTATTACTATTAATTTTGTTTGTTGTTGCTACTGAGCATATAATAAGGATATTGATTATTATCTACTTTTGCGAACTTAAACAAGGTTTAAGCTCCTTGAGCCTTCCTCGCGCATGGCTAAAAAGCCCTAACAGATTTCTTGGTGGCGGCACACCCATGTAGACTTTACAAACCATCCGTCTTTACGATTATCTATTCCCAAAGCTGCATTCTGTTGATGGAGGAACTCCGTTTGTTTACAACGAAGTGGTGCCTCAAGGAGCCGTTAAACTAGAAGAGTACTTCCCCCTTGGTTATGTCACTGGTAAGTAAAGAAACAGGCTAGCGCAGTGGTTCTCAATCTTCCTATTGCCGCGACCCTTTAATACAGTTCCTCGTGTTGTGGCGACCTCCAGCCATACCATTACTATCGTCGCTGCTTCATAACTTCGTTCGACCCAAAAAGGGTTGTGGCCCATAGTTTGAGAAGCGCTGGCCTTGCGGTTTCCACACTTGTGTCTATTTGTGCCACTTTGCTGTATTGTACTTTGGTTGACCATATTTGCTGTCGTTTTTTTTTAAATTTCCCCTTGTTAAACGTTTGTGTCTTCGTTTGTGTTCTGTTACTTCTGGACTTATACACATTAAGTAAAAACATATTTTATCAACATGCATTTTGTAGACTTTTTTTTTTTTTTTTTTGCAGACAGCTTTTATAAACAACATTTTTAGACATGCATGCTTTAGACACATCAGCAGGGGATGGGAAGTGTGGTAAAAAATCACATCACCCGCTTTACTTGACAGAATATTTTAATATTTTTTTTAGGTACCTCTTTTAGGCTAGGTTAACATGGGAGTCCTGGTCGAATATTTAAACAATAGATTTGAAAAGGTTTACAGATGAGAGGGTCAAAACCGTTGCACACGATATGGCTATTCTCCCGCTAAATGCTTGCTGAGCGTTATAAAAAACGCGAACTCTAAATACAATTGCGACTGGGCGGCAAAAGCCAGTCTATCTGCCTGCTCATTACCACGCACACCTGATTATCCCCGGCAACAGTTCCACGATATGCTTCTCCTCCGAGTCTTGTCATGTGATGCAAGTCACTCCAAGCACAAGAAATCAGTCTTTTTTTTATTTTTTTTTATTTGCATGCTCTGGAAGCCACTGATATCCTACATGATCTGAAGAATACTCTTAAAACAGCATCATGTCCCGAAAGCTGATTTATTTTGGCCATGTTAAACATCATTTTTAAGCAGAAAATGGAGGGTATAGTTTCCGAAAAAAGATGCAGAGGTAGACCTTCTCTAAAATAAATACAACACGTTGAAGACGCGTGAGCTATGAAAGCACGTAGAGCTGGAAAGCAAGACAAAGACATACTTTTTTTCAGTTATGCTGTGACCGGAAGCAACGTTCTGCAAAGAACCAAATGATCGATCATGTCAGGATATAATACTCTCTTATATGTGTACATGGTGCATCTGTTACAACGCAGAAACAGACTAGTCATTCGAATTAAAGAGATGTTGAAAAAAGAAGTTACTGCATTTGTCATATTTGTTTCCCCAGGTTAACACTGTCGAGTCATAGTATATGTTGTGTTACTATGGGGAGGGAGGAGAGAGAGAGAGAGAGAGAGAGAGAGAGAGAGAGAGAGAGAGAGAGAGAAAGAGAGAGAGAGGGGAGGGTGGAGGTTTATGTAACAACTGCTTCTTACTGAAAGAGTTAACGAAAAATGTTCTTGACTTTTCTGTGTAAGAATTCAGATATGGCGACTCTGTCCGAGCAGCTGTCAACAACTTTAACGAGCTGAGGGGTGTAGTGCACTCCGGTATGTTGACTACAGAAAACGCTCTGGTGTTTGTTGACAACCACGACACACAGAGAACTGGACAACTCAACTTCAAGGTAATATATAATAAGTCGGGTAGGCAGAACTTATACCTCCCCTTGTGAGTTCTAGTGACCCACATTTAGGGGGAGGGGGGGATGAATGAATGAATGACCCAAGAACTGACATTGATGTACTCAAGACGTTTCCACAGATGCTTTGCCACCGCCATCTTTAGTTGCCATCGAAGAATCGACATGCTAATAATGCCAGTTGCAACCTGATTAAAAGTCCGCCTCTGTTTCTCCTTCAGTGTTGAATATCTTCCACAACCTCTACTCACCGCAAAACGTTAAAGGAAAAAAAGACACACACTACTTCTTAACAAACATGACGTAAAAGGCGACTAATTAGGTATTGGCTGACATCAGATGCGTTAAATCGGAAGTCACTGATATCGCAGTCTACACGTACGCCATAACAGAACTTGCCAAGTGCTGTTTTCACAGCGAACACAGAACTTCTATCAAGAAAAATGCTATTGGAGAAAATGGGTGTTTGGAAATGAAGAGGTAGACAAACTGGCTGGCTCTGCGCTTCTTGGGTGGTGAATTGGTGCTTGAAACTTTTACAGTATGAGAAATTAAAAAGACTTCAAAGTCACCCACTGCATTTTAAATTTCAAGAGAGAACAAAAAACAGACTGAAGCGTCAGAGCCCCAACCACCTTGCTAGAGAACTGTACAGACAGCAGCAAGATCTGCTTGAAAGAGATGTTGCACTGTGCGAAAAACTTAGGCCAGAACCATGGACAAGCAAGCCAGAGAAAGCAAATGTAGTCCTAAAGGTACCAGGAATCACTTCAAAAGATGCCCAGACGAAGACACAACAGAGAACCCTGGCTCTTGCTATGCTTGATGAGAAGTATCCAAACACCACTTGGACTCAGGTTTTCACCGACGGCTCTGCTACAGATGCAGTCAGAAAGGGGGGTTGTGGAATTTACATTAAACCCCCTAGCAGTAGAGCAGAAACTCTCTCTCTACCAGCAGGTGACATCTGCACTAACTTCAGAGCTGAGGCAACTGCTCTCCTCTCTGCAGTCCAACATCTCATCACTCAAGAACACAGAGGGCACCAAATTGTTATACTTAGCGACTCATTGTCTGTTCTCCAAGCACTATCCAGCAAAAAACAAGACAAAATAATTGCTGATCTAAGGACCAACATTGGCTTACTCTCCAAGGAAGCAGAACTGGTCTTGCAGTGGATACCAGCCCACTGTGGTATTCAAGGAAATGAGAGAGCAGATGAGTTGGCAAAAGCTGGGAGTAATCTTCCACAACCTCATCCACCACACAGCTACAAGGAAACCAAAACAGCGCTAAAGCAGTCTTTCAAGCGGGAGTGGAGAAGGCAGAATGGAGATTACAGACCAGAGAGTGACAGCATAAACAAACTCAACAGGAAAGAACAAACATCAATTCTTAGACTTCGGACTGGACACTGTGGTCTTAGAGCACACTTGTACAGGATAGGCATACAAGAATCTGCTGCCTGTGATTGTGGAGCAGAAAGACAAACCCCTGAACACATACTGCTGTACTGCCCTTACCTCTCCCAGCAAAGACTGTGGATCTGGCCCAAAGGAGCCACATTGCAAGAGAAGCTATGGGGGACCGGTGGCGACCTTAAACGCACAATCCTATTTGTGACCCAGACGGGACTCAATGTTTAGCATGACTGATATCGAACGCAGAAGAAGAAGAAGAAGGTGCTTGAAACAAACCCAGACGTAGTAAAGGTATTTTGAGAATATGTGAACAAATTTTAAAAATGAGCAAGTCGTAACTGTCTAGAGAGAATGATGCAAATTGTAGTTAGTAGACGATCTAGTCGACATTCAGTGCTCATACAGAAGGCACAAAGGGCAAATGATCAGACGAAAACTGACACCATTAGTTTAGGAACAGCTTTGGCTGCTGAAGATGGCAACAGCTGCTGTGGACATGCATTGAGTAATCTAATATCAGTTCATAGCTCTTACGGAAATCTTTTGAGTAATGTAATATCAGTTAATAACTGTTAACTGTTATTATACTTTTGTATACTATCTTATTTGAATTTATCATCATCATCAAGTGCCTTGTCGACTGGAGTGGGCGATCATGCCTCTCCATAATCTGCGATCTCCTGCAGCATGTATCAGTTCGTGTGCCGACACACCTGCATGCCATGCAACAAGACTGTCAAGCATCTTCTCTCGTTGACTTCCTCTATTTCTCTTACCACAGATCTTTCCAGTGGTCACAACATGTTCTATTTTTCCTCTTCTCCTAACATGGCCGAAAAATGATGACTGTCTCCTTCTGATGTCTGTGATAAGTTGTCTTCGGGCTCCCGCCTCTTTCGAAACCTCTTGGTTGCTCTTTTTGGCTGTCCAAGGTATTCTAAGCATTCTTCTGTAAAACCACATCTCAGAGGCCTCCAGAAACTGTTTGGCCTGCCTACCGATTGTCCAGGATTCACAGATTATGTTAAAACTGGATGTATGTAGCAAGCAAGAATTCTTTTTCTAACTCTCAATGACAAGAATATATTGCACAGGAATTTTTCATTTTATAAAATGCAGTTTTTGCCTGTCCTATTCTGTTTCTTATCACAGTTATGCATCTTCCATCTGATGTTATCAATGTGTCCAGATACTTAAATTTCTGTACTTGTCCTAAAATAACACCATCAACTTTTATTACACACTTAGGAATAATTCGTTTCTTTCATACCACCATTACTTCTCTCTTCCCATTATTCAAAGTGAGACCCATTCTTCCACTTTCTAACACCACAATGTCTATCATTTCCTGTAATTCTTTCTGACTTGTTGCTATCAAGACTGTGTCATCAGCATAACGTAAATTGTTTATATTGTGCCCACCAACCACAATTCCGGGCATACCAATTAAAGCTCTCATTATATATTCACTGTATATTGAAAACAAATCAGGTGACAGTACACATCCTTGTCGTACGCCCCTCTTTATGCTTTGAAATGTACCTAAACAGTTGTTTATTCTTATAGCTGCTGTTTGCTGCCAATACATATTCTTTGTTATTTGTAGATCTTTCTCATCAATGTTTAATTTTTCTAACAGTTTTATTACTTCTTCATGCTTCACACAGTCAAATGCTTTTGTATAGTCTATGAAGCATATGTACAAATCAGTCTTTACTTCTATAGCTCTTTCTGACAATGTCCTTAGGATGTATATGGCATTGTTTGTATATTTTCCTTCTACCAATCCACATTGTTCATTACTGGTTTCTGGTTTAATTTTGTTTCTTATTCTTCTCATAATTATTCTCAGTAAAATCTTAGTCATGTGACTCATAAGACTTATTGTGCGATGGTCTTCACATTTTATAGTGCCTGGTTTCTTAGGCAGAGCTATAAATATGGATTTTAAAAGGTCATTTGGAATATACCCACTATTATAAATATCATTAAAAAGTTTAGTTAATATTTCAATTCCAAAATCTCCCAGTGCTTCGATTTCTTCCGGTGAGGTTTGTCTGGTCCGTGTGCTTTTTCTTTCTTCATATGATGTATTGCATCCTCAACTTCTGCAGTCATTATTGGTGGACCATCATTGTTGGTCTGCAGTTCTACATCTGGTCTATTATCATCATACAATTCCCCTATATACTCAGTCCATCTGTTAATTATGTTACTATGTCCCATTAATAAGTCACCATCTTTTGATTTCAAACATCCACTGCTGTTACGTGTCATCTTTACTGTTAACATATTTATCCTTTGATACATGGAATGTGAGTCTTTTCTGTTGTTTGCCCCAATCTCTGTACACATTTGATTCAGCCAGGCTTCTTTAGCCACTTTGCATTTGTTCACTATTTCTTTTTGCATTCTAGAGTATTCTTCTTTATAATTCTTTTTCTTCCTTATTTCATCCATCAACTGCAGAATTTCGGTCGACATTCATTTCTTTTTTGCAACTCTATTGGATGGTGGGATTGTCTCTTTAGATGTCTGCTAAATTGACTCACGCAACATATCCCACTGTTCATCAATAGTCTGTATAATTTCGATTGCATTATACCGGTTTTGTACAGTAACATTATACTGGTCCTTAATTTCTTTATCCGTTCTAAGAATTCCTAAATTTATCTTGATGTTCTGTGGAGTTTTTCTAATGTTCTTTAGTTTTATTCTAATTTTTCCTACAACTGGAACATGGTCACTAAAGCAGTCTGCTCCTGGTCTAGTTTTTGCTCCAACTAAGCTGCTCCTAAATCTTCTTGAAATCAAAATATAATCAATCTGATTGCGGACATTATCACCAGGACTTTTCCAAGTCCACAATCTTCGAGGATGTTGTTTAAACCAGGTGTTACCTATTATCATGCTGCGTGACTCAGTCCATGCTATTAATCTGTCAACTCTCACATTCTTTTCTGCTAGGCCATAAGTAAAGTAAAGTTCCCTTTTCACGCCTTTCGGTACATAGGGCATATGGGCAGAGCGTCCCATATTTTTACAGACCATCAGCACACTGTGGGTAATGTGGTCAGCATTACGCCAGCTGTCTTTACTTTCCCAGGACAGCCCATCCTGGTACCCATTTTAGGCTGGGTCGACCTGCGACGTCCCATACCACGACAAAAATCCACGCAGCCTGCAGTGGGTTTCGATCGCGGTATGCTGGCTTAAGAGTCTGACTCGCAACGCCTTAGCCACGGACGCCGCTAACAAACGTCGTAATGATTTTTCAGCACCTAAGAAAAATGTGAGCTTGGCAGTGCGAGCAACCTTGTCTATGCCGTGACCAGGATTCGAACCTGGGTTGTCGCGGCCACAACGCGAAGTACTAACCACTATACGATCACGGCCAGGACGCCCACACTAGGCCATAGCCACCCGTTATTCCGTAAACTTTTTCACTTCCTACTTTAGCGTTGAAATCTCTATGTACCATTGTTACTTCACAATTTTTGCATTGATCAACAGCCATGTCTAACTCGTCATAAAATGCTTTTTTGAATTAGGAGTGTTATTATGGCACAGCGTACAACCATTTTTACTTAATTACTGCGTTTACCTACTATATATATATATATATATATATATATATATATATATATATATATATATATACATACATACACACACACATAAATTTCCATGTTTTTGACGCAGAGCCCAGCAGAATACAAAAGAGCCCAAGCGTTTACCCAAGCCTTTAACTACGGGTTTACAAGTGTAATGAGCAGCTACCAGTTCACAGAGCAGTCAGACCCACCACCACACGATGGCGACGTTATCAAGGATGTCATCATCAACGCTGATGGATCTTGTGGCAATGGATGGGTCTGTGAGCACAGGTAGGGTCCTTATAATCAGGGGCACTTACTACCCCTGTAAGTGGAGGGATCCCGTTTTGGGAAAAAAGATTAAAGATTCCACCTGCTCCTTAATGAGCATGTCATCGTAAAGGCGTTTAATTAAAGTTTTATGAAAATAAGATGTGCTGAGCCGAACCAGCAGGTATCGCGGTCTAGCTATACACAACAACTCAATGTCCCAATGTGATGCATCCTCTATTGCTCAGTTTTGTTTCACAGAATTACTAACCGATTCATGAGAGTGTTGAACAGAGCACAAGTTCCGTAGCTCCAGTGACAAGGAATCTGTACCCCAAAAAATTGAGCTTCTAAACCAAACGATAGAGTCAGTAAGTGAATACGCTACCTTTAGATTGGGAGGCTAATGGTAAGCCATAGACATTCTGATCTAGAAGAGATGCACATACATTCACGGACTGCTTACTTATTCTTCTTTTTATTGTGGTCTTTCAGGTGGAAGCCAATCGGCAACATGGCTAGATTCAGAAATGACGTGGTCAACACTGGACTATTGAACTGGAACGTGCAGGGTGACATCATCTCATTCAGCAGAGGCAACGTCGGCTTCTTTGCCATGGGCAAGACAACTTTCAACATCAATGTCAATACAGGTATGCGTTTTCGCCTTGAGTCATCAGTGGCTATTTAAAATTATTGAAATTACCAGCATTGTCAATTTGATTTACTGTGTGTGTGTGTGTGGGGGGGGGGGGGGGGGGCTCCGGCGATCTTATGTTAATTTAGGTACTCTTTGTGCATGACCTGGCACAAAAGGAGCATTTTCTCATGACCTTAGGTGTACTGGATGTATGGTGTTGTATATTTATTGCAAAGACCAGTAGGCCCCCGGGTGATGATATGATTAATATCATGTGTCTGACCCACCCTAATGGTAAATTAACATTTCTATGGTAAAATTTTTTGGTTATATATTTGTCTGTTGGCCTCTTTAGAGACCCTCTAAGCTGTTGTCGAGGCCACTACACCCCACATTTATCTTCTTTAGCATACACTCTTGAGTCACAGAGATTCATTATACGTATATATTATCAAAAAACTGTGTGAACATTTTGTGTGATTTTTTGGTTTAACAGTTAAAGAAAAAAAATGGAGCGACCTGCTGAAAGGAAGTTGGAACAGCGACTAATGATTGGCACACACACACACATGCACGCACACACACACACACACTCACGCACGCGCACACAGACACACACACACAGACACACATACACACACATACTTATGCCATTTAGCCTCCTCCCCATCTGAGCTCCCATTTTCCTCCAACATCCCCTCCCACTTTTCCATGCTTTCTTTGTGCTGGTGCCACTAAACAAATTTTTTTTTCTTGAGGACTGAAAATGTCGCTATTGGCGTTTACAAGGAGTCAGACATAATGAACGCAAAATACAGTGGACAGCACCAGACAATGATGTTATCAAACATCAGATAATCAAATGAGTCTGACGTCTGATCATAGTCAATCATAACCAACTTTAGTGAGAAATTACCACATTAGAACATCGGAATACAGGGTAAGAGGATGATCTAAAAAAAAAAAAAAAAAAAAAAAAGAACTGTAATGAGTCAAAGAAACCTTAAACAAGCTAATTTTGGCATAAGCTATTAGCTACTCATAATAGTCAGAAAAACATCTTGTGCAATATATCCTTGTCATTGAGAGTTGAGAGAAAAAGAATTCTTGCTTGCTACATACATCCAGTTTTAACATATGGATGTGAATCCTGGACAATCGGTAGGCAGGCCAAACAATTTTTAGAGGCCTCAGAGATGTGGTTTTACAGAAGAATGCTTAGAATACCTTGGACAGCCAAAAAGAGCAACCAAGAGGTTTTGATTGAGGCAGGAGACCGAAGACAACTTATCACTGACATCAGAGGGAGACAGTCATCATTTTTCGGCCATGTTATGAGAAGAGGGAAAATAGAACATGCTGTGACCACTGGAAAGATCTGTGGAAGGAGGGATAGAGGAAGACAACGAGAGAAGATGCTTGACAGTCTTGTTGCATGGCATGGAGGCGTGTCGGCACACGAACTGATACATGCTGCAGGAGATCGCGGATTATGGAGAGGCATGATCGTCCACGCCAGTCGGCAAGGCACCTGATGATGATGATGATGAATAGTCAGAAACTACGCTTGCCTCCTCTTTGTGAAGCTTGACAGAAAATGCAGTAGGAAATAAGTTTATGTGAAAAGATATACACATTTATGGCATTTGACAAGGAATATATTAATAATGATATATATCCAGTTGCATTTTCCATTGCTAGGTCTCCCGCAAGGGGATTACTGTGATCTCATCAGCGACTGTGCTATGAAAATCCAAGTCGATGGCAGTGGTAGAGCACAGGTCAGGCCGCACGACGCAGGCGAGCCGTTTGTGGCTTTCACAACAAGTAGGTACAACAAACTGCACTATCTTGTTTCTTTCCTGTCTTTCTGGATGTTATCCTTTCACTTTCCTGTTTTTTTTTTTCTTCTTAATTTTCTTGTTAAATAATATGCTTTCACTTTTTAGTTTGGGTATTCTTTCTATAAAATATTTTCTAATTTCCCTTTTCATTCTTTATGTATCCTTCCTCTTTTATTATGTTTTATTTTGTTGTTACTTTGGTTTCTTTTTGTATACTACCCTTCTGCAAATAAAATAAAATCTTTTCTGTATAATGTTTCTCCAGTTTCTCGTTTCTCCTTCTTTCTATATTTTATCCTTGCTGTCTTTCTGTGTTTTATATTTTCCTATATATTCATCATCCATGTTCTTGTTTTTTTATCACTTGTTTATCTATCATTTTAAATGTTATTTTGTCACGTGCGGGTAAGGGAATGCACCCCACGCTAGGTAGGTGTCTATGGGATTTGTTAATATAAGCATCTATAAATGTCTGTCCTCCACCCATACACTGGGTTCCCTTTATCCACCAAATATGCCACCCACTTCCCTTGGCACGGCACAGGCTGATAGTGATTATAACTGGAGTTAACGAATGCCAAACCTAACAAGCAGCGGCTTACGTGGCTTAGTTGAGCTCGATTCGTAATTCCAACATACCTGATCGAAACCCACTTCTGGCTGCGTGGATTTTTATCGTGATATGGGGCGTCGTAGATCGACCCAGCCTAAAATGGGTACCAGGATGGCCGTCCTGGGGAAATAGAGACAGCCGGCGTAATGCTGACCACATTACCCACCTGGTGCCGATGGTCTGAAAAAATCTAGACGCTCTTCTCACAAACCCGATGCGCCTTGAGGCGTATAAAGGCATCTTTACTTTACTAAACCTAACAAGAGCACCTCTATAATCAAGGCACACGTAACACATTACATACCATGTTCACGAGTACTGTTACAAACTACAGCACGCTGTCCTTCTGTAACACAATACAACACGCCGTGTATTATCTTATAGCGCGATCAGTCGCTTTTTATGCCCCTTTTTTTTTTCCTTCTGTTTTTCTCATACTATTTTCCGTTCAAAAGTCGTGCTGTTCAAACTTTAGCACAGATATCCCGAAAACATGTTGTAGAGATAACACGAATTTTCACCTGTGGTCTTGGTTTTCCCATGTCCTTATGATTTTACAATTTACAATTAAACATGCGCTGCCATTTTTTCTTACTTGGGTGAATTTCTTTGATCTTTGTCCAAAAATAACTTGTGTATCCCTTAAAAAAACACACCTAAAAATACAGTAATTGACAAATAATCGTATACTTTTTATGAGCCAACCAACAAGCATTATGGCAGTACATATATATATATATATATATATATATATATATATATATATATATATATATATATATATATATATATATTTATAGCGGAAGGCTTTGCCGTATGGGCTCTGTGATTCTAATTATTTTGTCAGACGGTAGCTAAATAGGTAATTTTACGCCACAAGGGCATTTCACAAGCGATAAACACCTGGTGACACAAAGTGCCACCATGCGGATGAGGATCACTCGTGGAGAGGTCCCAAAAACCCTTTTCAGCCCTTAGGCCATACCTAATGCTTGACCATATCTATGCCCGGGCCATAATCAGGGCCCCCGGCAGAAGCCAGGGTGGGACTTCGAAATAACAAAAAAAAAACTGCATTCTACTAGTGTATGACCTGATTGTTGTTTTAAGACGGCGAAACACGACAGCCTGTGCTTAACAGTAAGAAATATCATGTTGGTGATGAGGATGACACATATGCCTGTAATTTTATTTATTTCTGATGTAGCCAGTAAGAATGGAGGTGACCGCAGCGCGCCGACATTGATCTTTAAGAGAACTGTGATACTGATTGAGGACAAGAGTGGCGCAGGCGCTGATCTGTTCATCAGAGGAGGAATCGGGCACAGCCATCGACCAGGTGAGCTACTGTAAGTAGGGGTCTCTTTTTAGGCCATTTTCGCATCAGAACATGAAGCTAGACTTACATATTTACAGATAAATGGATACTTGAAGCTTTTCCACGCGTTTTCAAAGGGTTCCGGAATCCTTAGGTTATATATTATAATTTTTTTTCCCCCATGCGAATTTGAACGAAAGACCATCGGATCGGCAGGCGAGTGGGTGTCATTACTTTCAGATTTTCGTTGTTCTATTTTGTTTTCGGAAGCCGCCGTGGTGTAGCGGTTAGACATTCGCCTGCAGATCAGAAGGTGGCGGGTTCGGGTCCTTACATGGGTAACAGGTACAGTTCTTAGAAGTAAAGGCAGCCGGAGTGATCTTGACCACATCACAGACAGAGTGCCGACTGCTCTATAAAATATAGGTCGTGCCCTATGTGTACAATACCCCTGTAGGTGTGGAAGAGGGTCCTTTACTTTCTTTATTATTCTGTATTTTACTGAGGTTATGTCCCCTGTCTGATGTTATCTGTTAACTAGGAACTTTTGTTTAGTGATTCTGTCCTTAATTAACATTACACATGCAAGCATACCTACCCCCCCCCCCCCACCCCCCCCCCAAACTTCGATGAGGTACAAGGTGGAAGAGAAGAAGAAGATGTACTTATGTACATGAATACACAAACACATATACATACCCATGCGTGTGCGTAGACACACAAACACATATACATAACCATGCGTGTGCGTAGACACACAAACACATATACATACCCATGTGTGTGCGTAGACACACAAACACATATACATACCCATGCGTGTGCGTAGACACACAAACACATATACATACCCATGCGTGTGCGTAGACACACAAACACATATACATACCCATGCGTGTGCGTAGACACACAAACACATATACATACCCATGCGTGTGCGTAGACACACAAACACATATACATACCCATGCGTGTGCGTAGACACACAAACACATATACATACTTGTGCGTAGACACACAAACACACACAGACACAAACCGGAAAAAAAAAATAAATAGGGAATAACGGAATGTAAAAGACATCCCCTTAAAGAAAATGAATACAGGGATGAATGCTGTCAGGAGGACAGGGAGGAAGCAGCAAGAGCAATTTAGCAGGAATGTGTTACATTTTGTTAAAAATACATTTCGACAGACACACAAACAGACACACAAATTCACACACACACACTGAAACATTAGGATACACATAGATGGCAATACACGAACTCTGTGACAAATTATTTGTGTGCGCTTTTCAGACTGTACTACAGATGCGGTGACAAGTTCCTGCAGTATTCCCATTCGTCACCGGACACCCGGAACCTCCTCTTATTATAACAAGGTTGGTGGCCAGCAAATTAAGTAACGTCCAGTTTATCCGTCCCCTGGCGCAGCGGGTATATGGCGCTTGGCACACTTGTGTAAACCAGTCGTCACTCGACACTAAATTTCGTCACCTTCTATGTCATTTCGTTGTATCCAAGTTTAGCTCTGTCAAATTAGGATGAATGCTAACTGGCATTAACAGAAGAAGAAGAAGAGGAGGAGGAGGAGAAGGAGAGGGAGGAAGAAGAAGAAGGAAAAGAAGAAAGAAGAAGAGGAAGAAGAAGAAGAAGAAGAAGACGACGTTTATGATAATGATAATGATGACGATTCAGATGATGAATGCTAACTGGCATTAACAGAAGAAGAAAAAGAGGAGGAGGAAGAAGAAGAAGAAGGAACAGGAGAAAGAAGAAGACGTTTATGATAATGATAATGATGACGATTTATATGATGATAATGATGATGATAAAAATGAATCACATCATGTTTCCATTAGTATTCAGAAATTGCTTAACAGACGTAAATACAAACATACCGACTGCCATACCGGTCAGTGCCGAAACATTTCTATTCTTTTCCAGGTCAACACGTGGTCCAAGGGAGACAATTTTCTAGACTGGTATGGTCCAGAGGCTGCCCAGGAAGAGTTCCAGACGACCAAAGCCGATGGAACACCCGCGTACAGATCTACAAATATCCCCGGACAACCTGGCTATTTCTCCCTCAACACGTGAGATCAAATTCGTATTGTGTTCTTAGTAGCTGAGTGTCATTTAGCAGAAGCATAAATTATTTCTTGGTTTTATTCAGTTTTAACCAGAGAGCTTCCTACGAATCTTTTCTCTGAGTTGTCTTTACCTGAATAGGACTGCTTGTCTTATCTGGCTGGTGTAAAGAATATCCAAATTCGCCCTTTTTAGAACGAAATTTTTTGTCATTTGAAGCCCTACTCTGGCTTTTGCCAGGGGCCGCAATATAGGCAGGTCATACATATGGCCAAATGTCTGAACGCGGTTTCTGGGACCTCTCCACGGCGATCCTCATCCGCATGGTGGCACTTTGTGTCATCGGGTGTTTATCGCTTGTGTGATGTCCTGGTGGGGTAGAAAGTCAGTCAATCAGTCTTAACGGATGCCCCATTCATAACTGCTTTGGAGCTTTATTGGATATCTGGATCCGCCTTGTTGGTCTGAGGTCCAGACTGGGATTTTTTTTACATTTCAGGATGGTATGGTAAGCTTTAGGTAGAAGCCTGGAGGGGACAAATCGATCTCCAAGTCATGCTACATCCTTCCAACCTCCCAATACTGAATTTGGTTCGAAACCATGTTTAACCAGCTGTTGGCAACCGATGTCACCACCAGGCTCCATTCATTTTTGTATTCTGGTTCACTAGCGCCATTTTCGTGGCTGCAATCATGAAATTTGCGCCAGCTCTCTGGCTTAATTTCCCTGTCCTCACAGGCAGAGCGCTCCTTCCTGTCTTATCTCCATGTGTTCCTTTTGTCCTTATCTTCCTAATTTTCCCTCTGGGTCATCCTCCGTCCAATTCAGTTTCCTTATGTCCTCTATTTTGTAAGTCTCACAGTGGACTGCATGTTGCTTTATAACTGAGGGAGAGGGGGGAAGAGGGAGAGGAAAAAAAAAGGGGTGGGGGTGGGGGGTAGTACGCTTTCAGTGATTTGCTTTTGTTTGATTATCGTCCTTAAGATGTTAAGCTTATGGGAGACAATTCTGAAGATGAACAGTTTATAATATTTACATCTCTAAGGCATATTCAATCATAGTAGTTTAACTTACCCACACAGGTCTGCAGATTGCACCAGGCTAATGTAACCGTTACATGTGCCCCAGCTGTCATTTATGTGGTGGTTCAACTAGTTATCTAGAATTTGTACTCTTGGCTTGCCATCCAGAGTGAGATTTTGTAATTTCATGTCTCCGTGTGGTTCAGGGGTGCCATTGTGGGGGGGGGGGGGGGAAACAAGAATAGTTTCACTGCCTCCTCAACAAACATGTAGTGGGAGTCGACTAATTGGGGACTTGCTTCGAAGTCGGAGTGCGTCTGCCCGAACGGCTAGCAACAACACATTGCACACAAATAAGCCAGTAAAACGGATGTACTTGAAACAATCAGGTCCTGGCACACAGACAAATTCCAGATGGAGGAACGACCAGGACTTTCCGCCAAAGCTTACAGACGGCGAACAATGAAGAAAAAGTAGTAGTCTCAAAGAGGTCGGATTTCAGGTGTCGGATCGGAGGAGTGAAACAGGGGTACGGGCTCTAATGAATGTTTCTTTGTTGGAAAGCAACTGGCTGATTTTGCGCCACAAAGTATCGAAATCATACATGGCAAGGTTTATATAGTCGAGGCCCCGTGGGAGCCAGTGAAAAGTGATGGAAAGTTCATGGATCATAACGATCTAGAGAGAATGGTGCAGCGGGAAATGAGAAGGGGATTTGACCGATACAGATGTGGGTGATGCACTTGTGGTTCTATTTGAACTGTATACAGATGTGGGTAATGCAGTTGTGGTTCTATTTGAACTGTATACAGATGTGGGTAATGCAGTTGTGGTTCTATCTGAACTTTATACAGATGTCGGTAATGCACTTGTGGGACCATTTGAACTTTATACAGATGTGGGTAATGCACTTGTGAAACCATTTGAACTTTATACAGATGTGGGTGATGCACTAGTGGGACTATTTGAACTTTATACAGATGTGGCTAATGCACTTGTGGTTCTATTTGAACTTTATACAGATGTGAGTAATGCAATTGTGGTTCATTTTGAACTGTATACAGATGTGGGTAATGCACTTGTGGAACCATTTGAACTTTATACAGATGTGGGTAATGCACATGTGGGACTATGCTAAGTGCTATGATGATCATCATTATCATCATCATCAGATTCCACTTCTGCCGTTAAGAGTTGGGGGAGGAACAGTTTGCGATCCATTGTTTGTTAGGCAGCAACGGCTACTGTCATTCCGATGTAGAAGATGTAGAAGCTCTTTAATGTCATCAGTCCATGTTCTCCTAGGGCGACCTCTTGCTTTCACTTCAGATCTTTTCATGTGTAGCGCCTGCATTGGTGGTTGTTTGGGCTGCATTCTTACTAAATGACCAAACCATTTGCTCTTCTGTTTCTCTATGAATTTGCTGCATAATTATGACTGATAATATATTTTCTAACCTTGGATGGTTAAGTTGGCAGCTTCTCTCAGGCATCTAATTTCACAGTTGTTAATGTTACGAAGGTTAGTCTTTGATAGTGTCTAAGTCTGGCACTGGCAGCACAGTGTTGGTATGAATGTGTTGTTTCTAACTAAGTGCTCTGATAGTAGTTCATAACTCTGCTCAAACTCAATGTTATTGCCAAAACAATGTGAATATTATTTGCGAAATGAAGACAGGTTCAAGCAAAAGAATGGAGATAGAGTAAGGCTTTGTACATCGCTCAGTTCTTACTGAATCCGCATTGAGATGCACAGTAATGTTAAAAGAATTTGAGCTTTCTTTTCATAAGTGTTTTAAGCTTTGGTAGACGGGGATGCATGGTAGCTAGACCCTTCCAGTGTGCCCCGAATGTCTAGAGTTCCAATCCGCATCAACGCAGATAGTCCCCTCCCCCTCTTTCCCACTACGACTTTGTCTCCCAGGTCGACTTAGCCTAAATGGAAACCGGGTAATGCCTTTGGACGCAAAATCGCTTGGACTGGTGTTGATTGGATTATATTGCCTGTCTAGTACTGACTGGCCGATATAAATGTAGTGAAGCATCGTATACCCGCACTGCAGTGGAAAAAGTCCTTTACTTCATATACTAAAGTTAGTTTCGTATCCTTTACAGGACGTTGCAGAAGCTGTTGTGGTTTTTCTAGGCAAATTTTGTACTTTCAGTTGTTTGCCATTGCTTGGAACTGTCAGCTCTCGGTACCACTGTCGCAAACCAGCGCAAGAAAAAATCGTCCGCATCAGGGATCGAACCCGGCACCCCGGCATTACGAAGCGCGTTCGCAACGCCTAAGCCACAAACGCCGACTTAACATACTACACACTTTAAATTGAGTGTCTTCTCGTAATTTTACAGATACGGTCCTAATTACTGGGTCATAGACGTCGATATGGATTGTTCAAGAACAGACGGCGACTATTTTGAGTTCAAGGCCATCGCAAATGGTGTCTGGGAGGAAGACGTCTCACCGTCTGGGCGATGTTCAGGAGATAGCCCAGGAAACCTGCCCTACCCCTCTGTCAATCACTTCGCCAAATGCGGCTACTTGAATGTGTTCCATCTGAACTCAAGGGAGTGCCAGGCCAGGTCGCTTCCATGAGAAAAGTTTGCTTTATTTGAAATATATTCTATTTTATTCAGCTTTGCTGTTTTGTCTTCTCTTCTGATATTAAGTTAAATAAATACGAGGTGTAGTCCTGGGAAGTCAAGGCGGCCAGCATGATGCTGATCAAAGGTCTACAAAAATATAAGTCTAGACTCACGTGCTCAATGCGCCACAGCTGTGTAAAGGGAGCTTTACATTTAGTATAATAGTAATAGTAGTAGTAGTAGTAGTAGTAGCAATAGTAGTAATAGTAGTAGTAGTAGTAGTAGTAGTAGTAGTAGTAGTAGTAGTAGTAGTAGTAGTAGTAGTAGTAGTAGTAGTAGTAGTAGTAGTAATAGTAGTAATAGTAGTAGTAGTAGTAGTAGTAGTAGTAGTAGTAGTAGTAATAGTAGTAGTAGTAGTAGTAGTAGTAATAGTAGTAGTAGTAGTAATAGTAGTAGTAGTAGTAGTAGTAGTAGTAGTAGTAGTAGTAGTAGTAGTAGTAGTAGTAGCAGTAGTAATAGTAGTAGTAGCAGCAGCAACGACATCAGTAGCACCAGAAGTAATAGTAGTAGTAACAGTGGTAATAGTAGTGGTGGTTGTAGTAGCAGTAGTAGTAGCAGCAGCAGACGTAGTATTTGTAGAAGAAGTAGTAATACATTAGTAGCAGTAAAAGCAGTGATAACAATAGTAGTAGCAACAGCAGTCGTAGTAATAGCAGCAGCAGCTGCAACAGTAGCAGTAGTAGTAACACTACTAGTAGTAAAAGAAGCATTTAGGTTATTAGGAGGCAATTAACGGAAGTAAAATAAATATACGACTGCTTAACTAACTAGCTCTCAGTACCTTTGCATCCGATTGTAAAATACAACAAACTCAAACTCAACATCCAGACTCGAGAGAAAAATGTAAGCATTGGAAATGCGATCGTTTCTAAAGATCTTTAGTATGATGGCGTGGGCATATAGGGCTAGACCTATATTTTTAGAATGATCAACACTCGGTAGGTCTTGTGATCAACAACACCCGGACCGCCTTTATTTCCCAGGAATGTACATTGCATCCAGTCAAGGCTGTGTCGACTTGGCAGCCAGGATCATTTTCGGAGAAAAAAGTTAGGACCTAAACGTACGACCTTACGATCCACAGGCGAGAGTCTAGCCGCTACACCACGGTGGCTCCCCATAGCAAGAATAGAGAAAATATAATATCAATGTCCATATCAAACGTATTACAGTCAAACTCCTATGCGGGTTCCGGAGCATTCTTTCGGGAGGCTAGAATAGGCCTGTCTCTCTAACAAGCATGCTGTAAAAGGCTACTGATGAGGAAAGTTTACCGCAGCCAGCGGAAAGCAGCAGTGACTGCGATAAACTAGACTTTGCGATAATGATGATCAACCCTGATTCATGACAATTCCCGTTCAAGTGATGTGATTATCCTACAGCTGGGTCTATGTATTGGGGCACTCGAAGCGCATGGGGATTCATAGCAAAAGCGAATGGACGACGCTAAGTGCAACAAAGCCTGGCATATAATAGCACAACGTCGAGTTTGAGAATGGAGGTGGAGGCGGTCTCTGCTGAATTCCGCTGGATTGAGAATTAGCTGTGCACATATGCCATGATTGTAACTGACTCACGGAGCATGCTGAGAAAGGTGGAGACAGGCATGCTCTATGCAGAGTGGCAAGCATCACTTCAGAGGTCCCAGGTAGTTATCATCCCATGGATATTCTTTCTAGTGTGCTGGGAAATGAGCAGGCAGATAGACTGGCCGCTTCTGCACTACTTGGTGGTGAACTGATCTATGACAAGCTAGATGTTGTAAAGACCCTCTGGGAGCGAGTGAACAGTGTGGAAGCGCAAACAGATCATTACGGTCTGAGGAGAATGGCGCTGCGAGGAGTTGCCGGGGGATCTGGCCGATGCTCAACGCTCAAGAGAAAGACGAGGCGGATATACAATCAGATAGTTACTGGTGCCATCGGAATTGGAACTTTTCGTTTTTTGTGTGCTGAAGATGTGGACTCAGCGCTAATGGGAGTGTCCCGAGTGCTATGATGTCGATTGTTAATTCAACATTCAACATTCAACACTGAAAGAACTCGCTGCGCACCACGAACGTCACCTTCAAACATTAGCCTGTGCAATTCGCACTAGACGTGCCGTTCTCTGCAGTTGACGACAACCATTGCATCATTCGTTTTGTCTGTACTCATAACTAGTTACTGTATCGGTGAGTTTCAATATTAGATTTGAGGCAATGAACTAACTTTTTCCGTGTGGGCCCCGGGGCCCCAATTTTTGATAACAAGTATAGACCCACTGCCGTAACGGACATGTCGTTTAGGACAATTGGTTAGGGGTTTGGAGAAATCACTCGTGTTGTGCTGAAAGAAAAAGATATCGCAGCCTAGATGTAAACCCTCTTTAATGGCATACTGGGAAAACGATAACAAATTGAAATACGATTCTCCACTTTCGCAGGGGCATAACATATCTGTTTTATTAGTTGACAAAGATTTTGCTCGAAACGTGCGGTTGTATCTGTGCTGCGGCTACGGGTTCTATGCCTCGTTTAAAAGGTGAATGACCAAAATATATATATATATATATATATATATATATATATATATATATATATATATATATATATATATATATATATATATGAAAGTAGAAATAAAAATAATAAAAGTCACATGGAATGCATAACAAAAAAATTAAATATAAAACTTATGAATGTGGTTGGGAGTGGGTAATCGGTGGGTGTTGTGGTGAATGACTGTTATATATTGTTAGGTTCCTATTCCAGGTCTCAAACCATATTACATATATCATGCGAGGCCCATGTTCTTATATATTAGTTGGATAGTATCCCACCGGCTCTGTGAGTATGCCGAGAAAGGCACACTCACACTAGACCCAGTCGAGAATGGAGAGGATGGAGGAAGGGGGGGGGAGAGGTGGACTCCCTCGATCTGGAATCGATCCAGTGACTACCACGATGTCAACCAGGCGTTCTGACCACTGTAACATCACAGTTTTCCGTAATGGCTTGGAGGAAGAGGCAGAGATCGACCAGCCGGAAGCTGCCAGAAGATATTTGACAGCAGATACATTAGGAATAAAAGTCCACGAGTTAGGGAAACTTTTAATGATCTTCTTATATCTTGGCTCATTTACATCTTGTGAATACCGTGCTGTGTGTGGGCCCTATGTCTTCTTCAATAATGTGACAACACGTCATGCTGTCACCGCCACAGTTCTATGGTTTTTTTTTTTAGGAGTGCCCCTCCCGTCAGTACTCTGATAAATCGTTAATTTACATTTCTTATAACAATCTAGTAATTGGCTCTGGGAAAAAAAGCATACACTTATAGTTATATCTGTAGACATTTTTAGATTTCATAGTTTTAAATACACTGCAGTTAAAGAATATATTGTTTCGTTTTTTTCTTGGCGACAATGATTAGGGTTCTAATACAGATGTCGAGCGAGTCATGAAACCTCTCACCAAAGTGACCCCGCAAAAAATGGAAGAAGGGGGAGGGGCGGGGTAGGCGGTTGGGGGGGGGGGGGGGGGGGGGGTTTGAAGCATGTTGTTAAAATGACTTGAGTGGGATATTCCGTTTTTAGCTTAAAATATTATTGGAAAATCCCGTTTTCAACGCAAGATTTTATCAGCCTACACTTCATGGCACCGTTGTGCCTTGAACCTCCTCCCTAAAACTGGTAATGTCAACATACTGTCAACGCACAGTAAAATCCATACGGTACAGAAACCTACATACAGTGTAATTAGGGTGCACGAAAAAAGACCCATTTCCCGCCAGTTACCCATAGGCTCTTTACTGCTGGACCCACTTTGTTTTTAGATTGATCGGCCTCGACCGGTGATGTGGTCAACATCACAGAAGTCGCCTTTACTTCCCAAAACATATTGCGTATCCTGTACAGGACGTTGCAGAACCAACCCTAAACAGCTCCTGGCTGTTGTGTGGTTTTTCTAGGCAAATTTACGTCCAGTAGTTTGTCATTGCTTTCTGTACGGTGGGCTTTCTTGATACCACTGTCGAAACCAACGCAAAGCGGGTGGCCCGCAGCTGAGATCGAACCCGGTATCCCGCCATTACGAAGCCTTCACATCGACTTAGCCACAGAGCCGATCAAGACATATTACGCTACCATTTATAGGCTCGGTCGACCTGTGAATCAAAGTCAACTTTAAAAAATATACCTGGGTGGGGATTTGAATCAGTTACTTTGTTTTGGCAGATACGAATCTAGCCTTCGCTTTTCAAGCCTTCACGCTTCCAGGCTTCCACAATTAATACAGTATCTTCATTGAGTGGGTTCCAGGGCCTTATTTCTTGAGGGGAAAAGAATAGACACACTGGCCTCCTAACAAGCATGTCGTAGGATGCGACAAACTGGGCACCTTCCCTTCGAAATCTTACATCTGCATGAGAGGCAAGGAACTACAGTCTGTAAACAAAGAAGCCATATCTGTAAAATGGCTGCACTCAGATATCAGATCCTGGAAGAAAGCCAAAGTCCAAAACTGGACGAACGATCAGGAGGTTCATGACCGCAAAATACTTTTAAAAACGTCGTCATCCCCTTGTGGGATGCAATTTTTAGTTATTTTGAAGCTCCACCATGGCTTTTGCTGGGTGCCCAAGAGAAGAAACTCCACAGGGGAGCTTGTGCAGCAGGAGTCTACCAATCATCTGTAGAGGTAATCTCTCGTCGACAAATGTTTCGGCCCACGAGCTCCTAGACATTTTCAGAGAGTAGGCTTACCTGAGTTCATGAAGCTCAGGGTTGGTTTCTCCTGCTGCACGTATTACCGGAAGTTTTTCGGACAGGACAAGACGAAATTGGTGACTTTGCAAAAGGTACTGTGAGATACTGTGTTTATATAGTCCCTGCGGTAGCTTAATTAGAGCAGACAGCATACCTGGACGACCAAGTGGCAAGCTTAGGGTTGGTTTATCGGACACATGTTGGACTTTGTTGGCAGGTGGCAGAGGGACACTGAATATAGCTAAATATAGCCGGGCCTTAAAAAATGCCTAACGGCTGAACGGGGTTTCTGGGACCTCTTTACGGGTGATCCTCATCCACATGGTGGCACCGGGTATTTATCCCTTGTGTGATGTCCTGGTGGGGTACAACTTACCTACCTTACCTATGAACGCCCCCCCCCCCCTACCCCCCCCCCCCCAAAAAAGATTTTAAAAGTCATTATCTGTTGATTTTGTATATACGATATTTCTTCTCCCTCAAGGTTGCACGTCTGTTTATGTCACACTGGTGTGCTAGCATTCATTCCGGTATTCTAGTACATACATTGACTTTGATTTGCTTACGTAAACTTTTACATTCCAGGACACGAGAGGCCACAATTGAACCCAATATTATTTAGAGGCAACATAAATTTCTTAACGTAGCAGCCAGTCCTCCTAGTAGCTCAACCAAATGGATCATTCTTCAGGCAAAGAGACAAAAGACTTTCCCAAAGGAACAGGACCCAAGACAAAATTACCCAGCATACATAAGTCGGTAGAACATTGGAGAACCGAGAGCTCTCGATCAGCCCTGGCCTCAACCTCCGGCTCCGAAAAAAGGTCACACGAGACATTATTTCCCCAAATCGAGAACTATAAGAACCGCTTAAACAGCTTTGGTATGGGGATGTGCACAAACAACAATGCTAAAACAAATTCTTCAGAGCAGAAACAAAGCTCGGATGCACTGTTTAGAGAAAGGCCATCGTCTGCTAAAGCCAAGAAAAGGGAACACAATGTGGCAGCAAGTTCTTCAGAACAGAGCGATAGCACCGATTCTAAATCGCAACCTGCGCCTTCGATGAGAACACAAGAACAAGTCAACGCTGTAACCGTTTCAACAGAACAAACTCAAAGCATTGCTTCTCGCTCTTTTTTAAAACTTGCAGGTGGGACAAGCACGAAAGTGGAAGTGAATGTTATAGATTCTTCGGAAGATTCCCAAAGCACGGAGACGCCTAGATCAAGACTTGTGTCGGCAATCGACAACAAAAACTTACTGAATCCCCAGATGGATCTGTTACAGCCGAATCAAAGCACGGGCTCACCCCGATCAAGGCGTGTCTCTATTATAGACAAAGGAAATGTGTTTTATCTCTCAACGGATTCTTCGGATGATAGTTTAAGCACTGGTTTGCCAAGATCAAAAAGTGTGTCTGTAGTGGACAAAGGAATTGTTTCGAGGCCTAAAACTGGTTCTTCAAAACCGGATAAAGGCACAGTAGCACGTAGTTCAAGGCTAGTGTCTATAATGGACAAAGGAAACGTGGTAAGTCATAAAACTGGTTCATTAGAAGAAGTCCAAAGAAAAGAAGCACTTCAAATATCAAAGCCATCGTCTACGAAAGACGCGAAAAGTAATTTATCAGTATATGACGCATATTTGGTGGATGATTCCATCAAATCAGTAAAACTGCGAAAATTCAAAAAACGAAGTACAATGACCTTGTTGTCGCCTACGCCAGCAGACATTGAGGATGCTATAAGTCGTCACGGGCCTTATGAAGGTGAGTACTGAGATTTATGCATGTGTGAATCGCTTGAAGCTGGCTTAGGGTATGTTGTTGGTCACTACTATTGTCACCAGCATTCTTCACCATCACCACTACCTACACCACCACCACCACCAGCACCACCACATTCAAAACCAACATCACCACTACCGTAATCACTACCATTATCACCACAACCCCCACCATCACCACTACGACCACCATCATCATCCCTGTTCTGTCTTCCACTTCTGCCGTTGAAAACCGTCGAAAAGAATATTGGAGGAGGGGGGGGTGGTTGGGGGGGGGGGGTGGTGGTGTGGTGGTGGGGAGAGAGGTCCTGCGCTGTACAGGCGGCCTGGGAATTGTCATTCTGTGTAGATTTGGCATATTAACTTTAATGTCACCAGTTTGTGCTCTCTTGGAGCGTTCACTACCTCTCATATGAGATCTTTCCAGGTCTGGCGCCTGTGCTGGTGGTACATTCTGTGATTGCATTACACCGAGATGGCCAAACTATTTGGATTAATGTGTCCCCGTCTTTCCCACTTTGTTTAGTTCAGGGACTCTGGTAATACGAACAAGAAGATTAAAGCCATTTATAAAGGTCAAAGGTTAAAGAGAGGATCGACTTCATGGCATCGGGTTTTTATTCCACATGCTCAGTCTCTCTTTGTAAAACCGCTAGCCGCCTGCCGAGAGCGTTACACAAAGCACGAACTCCGTAGCTCCGGCGACGACCTTCATCAACTTCCTCAAATTTAATTGCACTTGTGAACTGAACGGCGCTGTTGTGTAACGAACCCACGACCTTGAGAGCTCTAGGTAAACGGCTTCACCCCTTCCCCACTGAGATACCCGAAGCTGGAAAGTATGGTAATAATCAATACAAAAAGCAGGGCTTCCTAGAATGACGTTCATTGTTCTCTCCTGACGTGCTAACATAAAAGGCAATAAGAGGGTGGATGCCCTCCTAGCCAGTGCCATCGAAGAAAGTCGACCGTATATGCACGGTCTGTAAACTCAAGAACTCTTTTTAACGGTTACAAGCGTATTGGGCATATATGGTTAGACGTCTATTTTATAGATCAATCGGAACTTTTTTGGGTGATGTTATCATCACAACGGCCGCCTTTACTTCATAATACAGCATCTGGTACCCATTCAAGGCTGGATCGACCAAAGAGCCAAGGTCATTTGTTTAAGAAAAAAGTCACGAGGACACGAACCAATTACCTTCCGATCCGCAGGCGAGCGTTTTGCCGCGTCACCACGGCAACTCGCTTATATGGACAGAAAGAATAATGATACACAAGATACAATACAAGCTGAAGATATCACACATGAAGACAAGGACCTCTCTCTGACACAGAAGCGAAGTCCAAAAGATAGACAAGTCGGGGCATCGCGACGGGAGAACCACACACGAGCTCTCTGTCGTTACATCAACCAACACAGAATAGCAGTATCTAGCGTAAAGTTAGTAGCATAACCTTCAGAAGACGCTGCAAAAGCAACCCCAGCATTTTTTGGCTGTTGTGCCTTTTTCCTGGTAGATTTACGTCCAATATTTTGCCATTGCTTCCGTGAGCGTAAACACAGTAAGAAAGAAACACAATTAGTAGAGAATGGGTACACTTAGGGATATGCACGACCGCAATGAAGATTATTGTGAAAAGAACAAGATAATTGGTCCAGATTATATTCTCACGATCTGTTGTTGTTGTTGTCGTTGCTGCTGCTGATATCTTTCTATTTCGGTCTTGTGTAGGTCACATTGGTTGCTTTCCTCTGGCATCTTAATTCATACGTGTTGTTATTGTTACTTTCATAATCATCAGCACGTGCCCTGTCGACTGGCGCATGCATCTCCACCATTTGTCCTCTGAATGAGTTCCATCGATGATATTCCTGCGTACCACCGTCATCAGCTCTCTCTCTCTCTCTCTTTCTCTCTCTCTCTCTCTCTCTCTCTCTCTCTCTCTCTCTCTCTGTCTACCTCTCCCTTTTCTAAAGTTGATCTTCCCAGTTGTCACAATATTCTCCAAAGCCTCCCACCTCATCACATGACCAAAAAACAGTAGTTGTCTTTTTCTTAAAACTGTATATATTGATCTGCTTTCATTAGCTTCCTACAGACAATCCTCATAAAGTACTGGTCTTTAGTTACTTGTATTTACTGAGTTTCAAAAATTCAGTCTTGTTTTTATTATCTGCGTTTACACAGTTGGTACGGTGAAGAGCATAAGGGTCGTCAGCCTGAGGATCTAGGACCGCATAGCCTATTGTAGTCGCCACGATCTATGCAAGTTCGATTTTGTGATATTGTTGTTCTAAGTTTTAAAAAAAAACACACACAACAACAACAACAACAGGAATGACCTGCAAAGGAAAACATATGCGTTATAGCAAAATGGGGCAGTGCCGTTTGAACTGGCTTTCACTCATAAACGTGGAAAATGACATACTAAAGACCACTCGAAGTCAATAAAAAAGCAGTTGAGTGAAAAGAAATGTCCGCAAATGCTTGTTATAATAAGGAGTTCGTAGTAATTTGTCAAAATTATTGACCCCGGGTATCCACCGTGGCATCCCATGGTCAAGGCCGCTCCTTTATACTATTTAGTCAATCAAATGCCCAAAAGCTATAGGTGAAGCAATTCCTACTGATGACAAATCTCATCAAATCGGTTGTGATGCAACGAAACATTGACCGTTACATCCTAACCGACATCCTACTCAATGGGAAGGGAGCCCTGGTAGCGCAGTGGTTACATTCTCGCTGGCCGACGTGAATGTTTTTGATTAAAATCCGTTAGGGGGCGGATTTTTTCCCTTCTAAAACTGACACTAGCTCCCAGGTCGACCCAGCCGAACATGGGGACCAGGTAGTGTCCAGGGAAGCGAACGTCCAGCATGATGTTGACCACGTCTCCAATAGAGTGACGCTTGATTCATACAAACTGTAAGCCTAGGACAACATGCTTCATTGACTCTATATATAAACAGAGGGGGAACCTTTGAGGCCGTTAAATATTATGAATTAACCGAGTAACAGAAAGTGTATTGATCGGCACTCATTCTGTCTTTCTACTTCTTTCTATGAGTGCCGATCAATACACTTTCTGTTACTCGATTAATTCATTGACTCTGCATGTTTTAATAGCAATTAGGCTGCACCAATGGACATGCACTCATTGGTAATTTCTATTCTGAGTCTAGAGATCTTGAATTGTCCAGTCTTGTGTACTAGACATGTGCGCTAAAATTGGAGTGAGGGAGAACCAGTGACGCTCCTTATCGAGGCGGGTGATAACAAACGAGACAAGTGAAAAACCTACACTGATTAAATAATAATAAATAACAATGGAGACTGTTCGACCGAAATCAAAATGAGGATGACCCTAGCAATGCAAAGTTTACACTGCATTAAAAGTCTGTGGTTAAGCACCGTAGTGGACTATCTCCCAGTTCTTAAGAAATAAAATAAGGGTTTTTGAGCTGAAATGCTTTAGAACTATTCTCAGAATACAATGCACATTCAAGGGAACAACTAAGATTTTAAAAAGATCTGAGAACATAAGGAAGATTGGCTAATAACAGCATATTGTCTCGGAAGCTGAGATATTTTGGTCATATCAAGCGAAATGGCAAATTTGAAAAAACAGTAGCAGAAGACATGTTACCAGGAAGGAGGAACAAGGCCCGTTCCACTTGGAAGATGGTTACGGGATAAAAATGATTCGTTGAATATAGAAGTACACGAGGCAGGAGAGCCGGCAAGAGACCCAGTTTCTATGGGGCAACGCCATGACGACGGCGAGCTGCTGCAAAGGAACTGCTACATAATGAATATTAAATAAATATTGACATAGACAATATGTGTTTGTCAATCAGGTTATGAGAAAGAATGGTCCAAAGAACTTGGTAACGACGGGCAATGTTAATGGCACAAAATGGCTGATATAATCCGTATCTTTGTATCCAGTCTTTGCTGGCTGAACAATGAAATGCCTTCATTTGGAAATTAGGAAGACATAAACAATAGACTGCACAATGTAATAATGTATATTTTGCTGTATATCTTCAAGTGCATAATATTAGTTAGTTAGTTAGTTAGTTAGTCTTTCCTCTTGTGTCGAGTGCGGCACATAGGGCAGAGGTCATGACTCTCCATGCATGGCGGTTCGTTGCAATCTGTTGTAGGTCTTGGATGTTTGAGTGGCCCATGAGTGAGCCTTCCCTGATGATAGTTCTACGTAGGGTTTCCCTTGGTCTTCCACGAGATCTTTTCCCCTGTGGTATCCAAACGAGGGCTTGGTAAGGAAGTCTTGATTTATCCATTCTACGGGCGCGGCCGACATAGTTCCAGCGGCGTTTTCGTATAAAATTAGACACATACTCTTGCCTGGATTCTTGCCTTATTTGTGTATTTGTTCGGAAATCTGATCATTTGAAATTTAGTATTCTTCTAAGACATTTATTTTCAAAACTGTCTAATTTTGTGTCTAGAGTGTCTAGCATAATATAGTAACAATTAATTACAATGAAGCAAATAAACCATTTTTTCTCTAACTGAGATACAAAATCCATCACATTTAAAAAAAAAACGCCTGTTTCTGTACTTTTTTGCTCACATATACTTTTGGGGAACATAACTTTCAAATAGTGTAATGTTTTCCCCCACAGGAGACTTGCCAGTGATACGTACGGAACAGAATGTTGATGATGATCACGAGGCGCTGCGTAGCAGAATGTCCCTCGGAGGGGTTATGTCCGTCATAGACCAAGTCAGTTTCGAGGAACTTGGGTTTGACCCAGACGAGCTGGTCAGGACTGACCCCACAGTAGCCAAGGCTGTGTGTGAATTGTTGACGGAGTACACTGACGAGGTAATTCTTGTAATCTGTGGTTATTTGGGGGCACCTATATTCACTGGGAACTCCCTCAAAACTGGTCCCAGGCCAAGACTCTGGTCAGGAGCATATCGTGGATTGTCTGCCCAGGATATATGAAACTGGTCCCAGGCCAAGACTCTGGTCAGGAGCATATTGTGGATTGTCTGCCCAGGATATATGAAACTGGGGTGTACGGGGTAATGAGCCCGCTGATAGACTGGCTGCTGCCTCTTCTATGGGTGGTGACTTACGCTATGATAAAGCGGAAGGGGTGAAGGGGGTGGTGACTTACGCTATGATAAAGCGGCAAGGGGTGAAGGTTCTCTGGATCAAGTGGACAGTAACAAAACAGAAAAAGGATCCAAACACTGACAGACTGATTGAGTGAGGGGTGAGCCAAGTATCTGGAAGACATTCAACAATGAGGGGAAAACTTAGACGGACTTTTAACCTAAATCAGGTTGCAACAGGTACTATTAGCATGTCGACTCTTTGTTGGCTACTAAAGACGTAGACGGAGTTGGTGTGAAAATGCCCTATGCAGGGATGTCAATTCTTCCTTCATTCATTTTTTCATTCAGTAAAGGGGGACAAAGATGATAACAATAGTAGTAATAATATTGATAATAATAATAATAATAATAATAATAATAATAATAATAATAATAATAATAATAATAATAATAATAATAATAATAATAATAATAAGAAGAAGAAGAAGAAGAAGAAGAGAACATTAAAAGCGCGATTAGAAATAAGAATATATGAAAAAAAAAAAAAAAACAGAAGGAAGGCGGACGAAAGATTAAAGAAAAAAAAAAAAAAGAACAAAGAAGGAAGAAATTAAAAAGAGAAGAACAAGGAACACAGAAGAAAAACAGAAAAAAAGTTTTGCAACCGTTTATTATTCTTACATGGCGTTGTTAATATTTTTATGTCTTTGGCATCGCTGGTGTCCGTGTTCTGTCTGTTTATCGCGGGTGCTGTCTGTTTATCGTGGGTGTTGTCTTTTTATCGTGGATGTTGTCTGTTTATCGTGGGCGTTGTCTGTTTATCGTGGGTATTGTCTGTTTATCGTGGGTGTTTGTTTATCGTGGGTGTTGTCTGTTTATCGCGTGTATTGTCTGTTCATCGCGGGTATTGTCTGTGCATCGTGGATGTTGTCTGTTCATCGGAGATGTTTTCTATTCCTCACAAGGTGCTGTCTGTTTATCGCAGGTGTTGTCTTTTCATCGAGGGTGTTGTGGGACTGTGAAGATAATATCAATGTATGCAAAGCTGGCAGTACTACGGTAGGGTAGCAAATTAGTCGCTTGTCTGCCGACCTGAAAGTGCAGCCTTTTTTTTTTAACATTGTGTCCTTTAAGAGGAGATTGATTGGCTTCTAGGTCGACACAGCATAAACTAGGCAACAGGTAATGTCATGAGAAGTAAAGGCGACAGACGTGATACTGCCCATAGCGTGTTGATGGGCCTACAAACAGTTTGTCTAGCATCATATGCACTATACGTTAAAGAGGTTCTTTACTTTTACTGGTTTATAAACTTTGTTTGAAACGCTAATGAGGATTGTTTTACATTTAAACGTTCCCTCCAAGGACGCAGAGAGTCTGAAGATAATAACCCTAGCCTTGTGTGACGACAAGCTGAGCAACAAAGAGGTGCTCGAGGTCATTGAGGAGAATGTCAAGGGAAGAATTGAAGACAATAAGACAGTTTACTTTGCTGTTGCTTTCTTCATTTCCAAGACTCAAGACCCAACAAGTAAATATTACGAACTGACGCGTGGCGTAATAAACTCTGTCTCTCACATGCACACACACACACTCAAACACACAAATTCACCCACACACTCACGCATACATAAACGTAAGCATCCACACGTACACGCAAACACACACAAGCACGCACACACGTAAGCTCACAAAGTTACACACAAACATAAAAGCAAATTGTAATTAACATCATTTAGTGTCTGAAGGCGTACGCATTCACGTCTTTAGATAGAAAACGATTCAAGAATCATCAAGGCTGGTAGCAGATGCCTTTACAAATCCTGGCGCTGAATCCAGGAAAGGGAATAAAGAAGAGAGAAGAAGAAGAAGAAGAAGAAGAAGAAGAAGAAGAAGAAGAAGAAGAAGAAGAAGAAGAAGAAGAAGAAGAAGAAGAAGAAGAAGAAGAAGAAGAAGAAGAAGAAGAAGAAGAAGAAGAAGAAGAAGAAGAAGAAGAAGAAGAAGAAGAAGAATAAAAAGAAGAAGAAAGAAAGAATGAAAGAAAGAAAGAAAGAAAGAAGGAAAGAAAGAAAGAAGGAAAGAAAGAAAGAAAGCAAGAAAGAAAGAAATACTAAAGAAGAAGAAGGCGAGGAGGAGGTGAAGAGAATAGGAATATTAGCAGCAGAGTAGACGGAGAAGGAGGAGAAGAAGGATACACCAGGAAATAATTACATTAGACAACAAAATTGAGACGCTGACACGAACAAAATCAGTCTGGACTATTGTTGGGTTGCTAAACACAAAAATGACACTAAACTTTGCTCCAACACTGTCAACAACAGTATGCTGACAACAGAGACGCAATCTGGCCTGTTCCAACCACAATAAAGATTAAGCTATATTGTACTCGCGAAGATATGGAGTGCACGATATGTTATGTTCTGTAATCACAATCGACGTCACTGCACATTGGGTATTTCCATGCGGGCTTAGTCCCGCGATGCAGCAGCCACTCCAAGGGACTTCTACTAACTGTTCCTACGAGAAGCTGGTTATATTGTCTCGTATCTCGGTCTCGATTATGTGTATAGACATGCTTCACCGTGTTTTACTCCTATGTCACGCAATCGGTCATTTTCCACTAGCCCAGTCCACACAATTCTGTCCATGCTTCTTCCTACATGAGTTAGTGCATTGCTTGCCAAATGGTCTGCTCGCTCATTACCCTTTACACCGTAATGACCAGGTGTCTAGATCCAGGCAAGGGAGCTTTCACAAAGGCTACCGGCATCCTGATATACGTTTTCTGACAGAAGGCTCGAAGAAGTGGAAGAAGAAGAAGACATTAAAATTGATCGATTGACTTTCGTTAAAGAGATTCAGAGACTCTGTCAGTTGTCCATGTGTTGAACGCTTCCCGAGATCCATATAGATCGTTGCTGGACCTATATAATGTACTTGTTAAAATTGTGTGATTCTGCAATGGTTCGGTGGCTTCGGGGTTTGTGAAATAGTTTCATAATGTAATCTTCGACGTTGACTAGGTTTTGATTTCGGCCGTGGACGTGTTAAGTAAAGATCGTTGTTGTTGCTTTCAGACGTTTTACCTGATATCAGAGTAGCACTGTGGAAAAGACTGGGCACTCACCGCATTCGACAGGGCTGCGTGGTCTCGAGGCATGGTGTCCGCCTAGAGTGCTAGAGGTGCTGGGTTTAGTCCCCGGTAAGGGCAGGGATTTTTACGTGGACTTTGACTTCTAGTAATTCCCCTTTTCCCTGTGTAGTGACATCGAACGTCCGTGTACATTGATGTTTACGTAAAAAAAAAAAAAAATCCCTTGACAGTTGGAAATCGAAAAGATTAGCCTAACGGTGATGCCCGGGGAAAAAAAATTGGACTTAAAAATATACCCGAAGTATTTCAGGATCCTCGCAGGTGCCACAAAGCCTGTGCACTGTGCTGATCTTCTTGGGACTCAGACTTGAGTTATAAGAAGAACGGAGCACTTATGGGTTACTACTTGTGTGCAACGATGTTGATCCAATGTTCAATCCTTCAGTCGTTCGAACAGCATTCGAGCCATCATCCATTGTGGAGTCCGTGGAATTATTATTGTATTTATTATAATTCATCAGGGATTCAGTCGTCCAACTCAGCGTTAACCGACGAAAACGAAGACTCACCAGGTTCTTCACAGACCCAGATGCGGTCTAACAGATCCGTCAGTTTTTTAATGAACGTTTTGGACAAGTACATGCTTCTGGCCCAGCGTGCTGCTTCGATGATGTCCAGCGAGGCCACTTCGGATGCATCTTTCATGCAACACCGCCAGTCTTTTCAGGTGATCGCAGCGGCCGCTACCCGGATGTCTTT